CTTTTAGACTTCCAGTACTTTACATATTAGCATATAAACATCGGGTTTTTGTAAAAAGGTCAATTGGAACAGTTGATTGTTGTCAAACTGTCAGCATTAAATACAATATCCAATTTTCTATGTTTCTAGTCGTCGCAGTGTAGATAGTGTTCGATATACTCTTGACATATAGCAGTGTCGGTCCAGATTTTGCGATGGTAAGTGGACCGAGTAAACGCTCTAAGAGTATCTAAAGACTTCTCGGATCTCTTCACGGTGTTTTTCAGTTTTAATTATGTCTGAATATTCTGTTTGTTCTTAAAAATATTTTAGTGTAAATGCCATTTTTAAAAAACAAAAATAATAAATTTGCTGAACATAAAAAAAAACTATTAGAACACATGGATGTAGTGGATCGGGTTTCCTGTGCGAAAACAWCAAAATGGCGACATCAGAGCAGAGATCTCGCGAACCTATGTGTCTAAGCGATTTTGAAGAACTTTCTAAAGAGAGGATGAGTGTTTTGACTCTGGAATACTTTTCGGGAGGTGCTGATGACGAGGTAACGMTCAAGGAAAACATTGAGGCCTTCAAAAGGTGACTATTTCTGCTATTTACTGTATTTATTATTTTGATGTTGAACCCCACTCAAGTGTATAGTTGCTGTTCATTCGTTCATTTAATAAAATCAATAATGGTTTACTTCCATATTGGCAGAAGCATTGCTGTAAATAAAGCAAAGAATACCGAAGTTTCTCTTCTAATAGTAGAGCYCTTGACTTTTATAAGAGAGTTGCATCGGGCGACCTCGAATCTCGTTTGGAATTGKTATTTTCTGGAACTTTTATGCTAATTACTTCTACCAAACGATTCCCGTTAGCCCAAATGAGCGTGTATTCTTTGTAAATATTTAGAAACTAGACGCTCTGGGAACGTGAAGTCGGACTAGCTGCTTGTGAAAATTGAGAAAGACAGGATATTACATGGATAAAAATATTTCTTAACTTTTTTTTCCAAAACAGCCGAACTCATCACGGTCTAATAAGAGCGTCTAGTTCAAAATATGCAAAATTTATTGAGACTTTATAAGAAGGCAGCCTCTACTGAAAGTCATCCGCTCTACAGTTTAATACCTAAGCCTAAATCAACTAGATATAACTTAAGATACTCTGCAGCAGCTAAACCTAAAATATATACTTCTCGATTTATGAACACTTTTTTCAACAGATTACTATTTAGTAAGTTGTAACTTTCACTTTTTTCTAACTTAAGAATGTAATTTAAGAAGTGTACGTTCTTCTTATCATCAATAAAGACATATTATTATTATTATTATTACTTTAAATAAACTTGACCTAAAAGGTCATTGTAATTAACGCGATAAGAACGTGGCTTGCTTTGACTGATTAAATCAACTACGCTTTCGGTCATGTAATAACACAGCCAACCCAATAGTTAATTATTAAATTCTTAACTTCCGGTGGTCCAAACGCGACATAATACATAGATAGATTGATAGATAGATTGATAAGCTAAAAGGTAAATTTAAAGTCGGACCGCCTTCGGCTAGTCCGACTAAAAATGACTCGAGAGAAAACTCTCAACGTTAACTTCAAAAATATGGTCTGAGCGGRTCACAGAGGTTTATTTACGGTCACGCAACTGAAGTCCACAAGAATTTGAGCTTTTGGAYATATGAGGACGATAAGAAGACAGAAGCAAGATATAAGAAAAAATACGAAAATCATACTACTTTATATAGCATATTAAAAT